TTTTTTTGCGTGTGTGTATGTATCTATATATACATTAATATCCTGTGTGCTTATGAGTGAATGTGTCATGTGTGTTTTGTAAATGTTTATGGTTAGGCGTGTAGTGCTGGGAATACTTGCACTTCTCCGACCGCCAGACTTCAGGCTTTGCCTCAGCGTCCTCAACGGAAGAAAAAAGTCTCTGTGTTAGTTCATTTTTTAGTCTTTTTCCAGTCAGTTGGCATTCTCCGTGCTGCAGTCACCTCTTTCTTCTCCGGGTTTGGCAGGACGTTCCAGCTGCGCAGCAGTTTGCGGCCTTCTTCTGGGGTGTTCACTGTGGTCACCAGTCCATTCCTTCTGATTAGGAGGCGGATAGGGAATCCCCATCTATACTGTATATTGTTGTAGCGGAGGGTTTCAGTCGTTTCCCTAAATTCTTTTCTTTTTTGCAGCGTAGCCGCAGAGAGGTCTGTGAACATTTTGATATGTTTGTATTTTTGTGGTGGGTCGCCGCCCGTTCTCGTTGCTTGAAGTAGTGCTTCTTTAGCATGGAAGTAGTGTAGGTGAGTTAGCACATCTCTGGGGGTGTCTTGTGGTAAAAACGCCGGTTTTTGCACTCTGTGATATCTATCCAGCAGTAAAATATCAGCCGGCAGATCTGGTGCTATCGCTTTAAAGTACCCCATTAGGTATTCATGTAGATCTTGCTGCTTTACCTCCTCAGAGATGCCTCTGATTCTAAGGTTCTGCCGTCTCGAACGGTCCTCTAGGTCCATGACCTTCCTCTGCGTGGTGTCAAGTTGTTGTTGCAGCTCTTGTACTTGTTCTGCCATAGCATTATGCACAGTGGCTTGTTCTTCCACACGGTTCTCCACTTGTGCAGTCCTGTCCCCCAGCTCCTGCATCTCCCTTTTCACTTCTCCTAGTGTACCTTGCAGGGTTTCAAGAATCCTGCTGGACATGGTGTCTAGACACTTCTGTAGGAAGTCTTGGGTAACTGTTTTGTGTGCCTGGGGATGTTGGTAGTGGCAGTGTGTCATTACCTCCGTCGCCATCTTGTCCCTGGTCAGCTAGGCCCATCAATTTTGGCGTCGACGCTCGGGTCGCAAAAAAGCCGGCCCGATCGGTTTTCTCGGCTTGCTTCTTGGCCTTCTGTGCTGCCATGCCTGGGGGGGTTGTGTGTGGGTCGGATAATTGCCGGTACTGCTTAGAAATTAGCTTTTTCGGGCCGTCGGTGCGCGGAGCTCAGCACTGTGCGACCATCCGCATCGCCCGTCAGGCCACGCCCCCCAGGAGCACTCTCTTAAAGGGAGTGCTCCTAATCTCAGCTCGTTACCTGTATAAAAGACACCTGTCCACAGAAGTAAATAATCAGATTCCAAACTCTCCACCATGGCCAAGACCAAAGAGCTGTCCAAGGATGTCAGGGACAAGATTGTAAACCTACACAAGGCTGGAATGGGCTACACGACCATCGCCAAGCAGCTTGGTGAAAAGGTGACAACAGTTGGTGCGAATATTCGCAAACAGAAGAAACACAAAATAACTGTCAGTCTCCCTCGGTCTGGTGCTCCATGCAAGATCTCACCTCATGGAGTTTCAATGATCATAAGAATGGTGAGGAATCAGCCCAGAACTACACGGGTGGATCTTGTTAATGATTTCAAGGCAGCTGGGACCATAGTCACCAAGAAAACAATTGGTAACACACTAAGCCTTAAAAGAACTGAAATCCTGCAGTACCCGCAAGGTCCCACTGCTCAAGAAAGCACATGTACAGGCCCATCTGAAGTTTGCCAATGAACATCTGAATGATTCATAAGAGAACTGGGTGAAAGTGTTGTGGTCAAATCTATGCTACACATACAGAGATTAACGCCTCTTTTACTCTTTATCTGGCATCATCATTGTAGTGTCTTCAGCCAGCCTGAAACGAGAGTTCAATGAGCTTAATGTGAGTTCTGTGCAGATTTGGTGTCTGATAACAGCATGTACAGCTTTCTGGTGATTGACAGCAAATGACTGCATACCCCCTCATGCTGCTTATGTCCTTAACTCAGCCCGCTTCCCCTACTTCCCTCCCTTTTAGCCAAGCAGGAGTAATGTCAGTGGTGGAAGATTAGGCTGCACGGAGAACTTGCCATTGGAAAGGAGGTACATTTTTAGCATTTTTTGTTGTTATGGGAAATATTACTCTGACCAAAAACATTGTCTTTTTAAAAAAGTTTTATTTTGGTTAGAATAACCTTTTTATCAGGGGATAACATGGGTTAGCCAGGGCCCTAAGCAGTTTACCAATTAGTTTACCAGTTTGCATTCATTACTCATGGATGGTGAATGGGGTAAAGCAAATTCATTGTTCCTGGGTCCCTGTTTAACCCCTGGGCCATAGACAGACAACTGCACTGCCCTTAACCATTTACTGGTGCCTTAAGGATAGCCAAGCATGTACTAAAAATTCTCTCACTGGTGACCTAAATGGGAGATGACAGTAAATGTCTTGCCTTTATTGTTTGTTAGTAGGAGGCAGAGATGTGTATGGGGTCACAGGTCAATTCTCTCAATAGCCAATAAAATGAGTTAATGGAAATCAATTTGGGGAATTACTAGAGCCTACATATTTGCATGGAGCCAGGTTTATTTGGTTTTTGGCAGCAAGGGTGTTTCATTTTTTTCAATGGCTTTTACCACTTCCTAGCCTAAAAGATTACTGAGAGAGTGCTACTTAGAAGTTCTCTTTTTCTTAAGAATAGTTTCCATTTCAGTTAAATGGTCTCTAACTACATGATTAATAAGTCTACATCCCTATGTCTGGAAAAACACATTTGCCATAATTTCAGGAGCAGCAAAGGCATTGATCATAAATGACCAGGCCGGGACATTTGTGGCTGAAAGACTTGACGGATAGTAAATGGATTTTGAGAGTTATTAAGACAGGTCTACCAACTTTCCTGATTGTTTATTTCATCTTTAATACTATGTAAACATGTTCTAAATCGATAGCATGTAGTTCCCACACCTTAACATATTTTGAAAAATTATTGAAATTGGAAATATTTACCTAATTTTTAAACTTTAGTATGACCTGTCAGGCTAATGGTTCCCAGCTGTCCTTGGACTCACTGAACTATTCTAACGAGAACATAAAATTCTCATAGAGTCACTACGCTCTACTTCACTCAAGGGCATCATTTTCCCTTTTATGACATCTTTACTGATAATTCACAAGCTACCAATGGTCACAACTGACTGGGCAACAGTAAAACACTAGTAAATTAGAAATAAATGCAGAGAAGAATTGTGTTGAAGTCAGCCAAATGTATATTTTTAACGTCTTCATGATTTCATTATAGAAAAGGTTTTTTTTCCCCTCAATTTTTTGAAAAGATTAGAACTATAGAAAACATATTATTAATATTTGGAGGCAAGACAAGCAGTCTGATTAGCCGATGAGTGTTCAAACTCAGAACCCATCTCGAAGTTATATAATCAGGTGCCACTTGCTGAGACAACAGACAGGTACCAGCATGAAGAATCACAAGCTCTTTCCCTGTTTTGCTGTCAGCCAATCACAGAGCACATCGCCACAAAGACCACCTGTTGTAACTTTATTTTATTGCTCTGGCTAGGACCTTCAACTGTGACACAAACTGAAGGAAAAAACATACAGTGCTGCCCTTAAAGATAACTTGCAATGCAATCCTTTATCATTACATGTCAATACAGATCAACATAGGCAAGTGGGCACTGGTGGTTCCACAGAAAGAAGAAATTAGAAGAATTATTATCCTGGCTGACTTAATAAATATTTATTTATTATTATTTTTTTAGCCCGCTAAATGTCAGCCTAGTGATAACAACCCATTATGTAAAATAGCCCTCTCCATGAATACACGCCTCCTAGTGCATCTACAGCTCATTCCAGACAGGTCTTTTTACTGTGCAGTGCGAGAGGTGGGATATGGCATCCAAGAGAAGTGCGAGAGGTGGGATATGGCATCTAAAAGAAGTGCGAGAGGTGGGATATGGTATCATATTCTCCTACTCCATCAAACAAACAGTACTGCTCCACGTCAGCAAAGTCTGGTTGAAATTCTGGACAACTACAAACAGTCAAACCTGACACTTAATCATCACATTGTCTTGTCACATTCCATAAGTCAAATTTATATTGAAGAAATTAAGCGAATATTTCAAGATAATATATTGCAGTCACATAATATATATTCTAATATTGTATTGTGAGGCAGCTCAAAACTCTCTCTATACTAGTGGCTCAGGGGTAAATTGCCAGCCCCTCTGCTACCCCTCCCCCCTTCCTCCCACCCCCCAATACAGACACTAGACATGGACAAACACCAAAGGAAGGGGACATGGGAAGATCCAAGGGACCAGTCTGGCATGGAAGGGAAGGATATAAAGACAGACAGAAGTGTCTGTGTCTTCTCACCATGAGGTGAGTGCAAGTTGTAAGGAAGTCATGTTAGGTAAAAGAAAAAAAGCTTTGGGAGAATATGATACTAGGAATAGACAGGGCAAATAGTGCATTGATGAAACTGAGAGGACAAGGAATGGGCAGAAACAATATTCTGTAAATTAACTGAGAGACAGTGGAAGGTGTGAGAGACAGGCGGTAGGCAGGTAATATCAATTAGGCAAATAGAGGAAAGGGGAATGAGCATGGAGCAATTGAAAGGACATATCATCAGAACTAAGTGCAAGTAGAAGTGAAATACAAAACAGAAGTTTAGAGGAAAGTTCAATTTTCTACAGTTGTAATCGGTGGGGGAGATAATTTTGTGGACCTAACTTCAGATGGTCGGTATTTAGTGGGCATTTGGTTGGTCTTTGTCATGGTCCCAGTGGTAACGTGTTCACCTGCTGTGCCCCCACTGAATAAGTGGGTTATAACTTGCATTGCAAAGAAGACAAATGGGATAAGCTAAATGCAAAATCTTTACAATCGTTTTTAAATACTGGGTACATAACAACAGTGAAAGTTTTGAGATGGTTCAGCTCAGGGTAAACTTAGTTTCTTTCCAACGAAGACTGGCTTTCTCTACCACAACATCTCTACCACAACATAGAAGTAGCCCAAACATGTCTTGACTTGTTTTTTTCAGTCACCTCTAAAAATGTCATTGTTCCCATGTCGAAGCTGTTTCATAGTTTTGTTGACTTTGGCCAGAGCTAAAGAATGCAGACAGAGAACGTCCTCTTTCACTGATCAGAAATTCGATACATTCCAGAACAAACCTGACTTTTCATGTGTTCAAATAATGAGTGAACGTAAGCACGGTGCATTACACTATAGACTACAGGTCGAATAAAAGTCAGATGGTTTCTTGAGCTTCACCTTGATGAATATAGTTGAGAGGTAATGCAATAAGCAACATTTGCAGAAAAACGTATGCTTATTATTAGATTAAGTGGAGCCACCAACTTACTAGGCACAGGATAGCAAAAGAAATAGGAGGAAAAGGTTAGGTAACAGGTAACATAAATTTTGTGGCCATGAATCATATGCATGATTTATTAAAAACACCTAGTCTTGGTGAGAGAAATTACATGCTACAGACAGGAAGATAGGATGGAATGAGTAGGGCAATCAGCAACAACATTAAAACCCACTGCCTAATATTGTGTAAGTCACCCTTGTGCTGCCAGAATAGGTCTGATGCGTTGAGGCATGTTCTCCATAAGACCTCTGAACGTGTCCTAAGTTATCTGGCACCAAGACATTAGCAGCAGATCCTTTAAGTCCTGCAATTTGCGAGGTTGGGGCTTCCTTGAGAATATTCGTTTTTTCAGCACATCCCACAGATTGAGATCTAGGGAATTTGGAGGCTACACAAGAGGCAACACTTTGAACTCTTTGTCTTGTTCTTCAAATCATTCCTGCATTAAAATGCTGAACGTGGCCACTGACATCACGGTGGACAGGTGTCATCATGGGCACCATAGGCGTGCGCAGCCTATTGCATTACGGTGTGCACCCTAAAGCACAAACACACGCCACATTCACAGACACACATACATACACTGCTGTGTGTGCTGTTAGTGTGCTGTGTGAGGGTGCTGTTAGTGTGATGTGTGGGTGATGGTGTTTGTGTGTTTGTGACAGTGCTGTTTGTGTGTGAGGGTGTTTGTGTGTGGGTGTTTGTCCTGTGAGGGTGCTGTGTGTGTGAGGGTGCTGTTTGTGCGAGTGTCGTGTATTTGTGTGTGTGTGTTTGTGAGGGTGCTGTATTTTTTTTTTAAAGGTGCTGTGTGTGTTTGTGAGGGTGTGGTTAGTGTACTGTGTGTGTGTGTGAGTGTGCTGTGTGTGAGCTGTATGTGTGTAGGTGCTGTGGGTGCTGTATGTGTGTGTGTGCTGTATGTTTGGAGGGATTGTGGAGGTGGGACAGATTAGTAAATATCCCCCCTCCCTTCTGACCTTATGTAGGGAGGGATCCTTGATGCCATGTGCCATCCCTGGTGGTCCAGTGGAGAGTGAACTCTAGCCTGCGGGGCTAGAGTTAACTCTCACGAGATCTGAGCGTTGCCGTGGCAACGCTCAGATATCGCAAGAGGAACCTGGCGGAGCTGCTGTCTAGAGCTCCCTGGGTCCTCTCCTGCCTCCCTCCATGCTGCTGTGGGCCGGTGAGGTAGATCTTTGGTCTCCCCGCCGGCCAATTGAGGCTTAGAGCAAAGCTGGCACTCAGATAGAGCTGGCTCTGCGTGAGCTGACAGGGGAGATCAGGAGATCTCCCCTGCCGGCATGGTACAAGTCCTGTGGAATAATGTGTGGGAACTCTCCCAAGTTTCCCACCCCCCAAAAAAAATAATATACACGTGTGTGTGTGTGTGTGTATATATATATATATATATATATATATATATATGTGTATATATATATATATATATACATATATATGCGTACACACACACACATTCACAGACACACACACACACAAACTCACAGACACACACTCATACATTCACAGACACACATACACTGACACACACACACACACACACACACATTCACAGACACACACTCACTCACACACACATTCACAGACACACACACTCACAGACACACACACACATACAGACACACACTCACAGACACACACACACATTCACAGACACACACTCACTCACACACAGACACACACATTCACAGACACACACACACACACATACAGACACACACTCACAGACACACACACATTCACAGACACACACACATACAAATTATTATTTTTTAATAAAAAAATGTCCACCCAGCCTCCCTACCTGGAGTGCTGGCGTGGACTTGTCTCTGGGGTCCAGTGGAGCGGGTGCCTGTTTCCATCTCAGCCGCGGCGAGGGAGCTGTGTGCTCTCTGCTTCCTCTCGCTGTGCGGGCTGTCTACAGTAGCTGGAAGCCGGAATATGACGTCATATTCTGGCTCCCGGCATCAGCAAACGGCGCGCAGCGAGAGGAAGCAGAGAGCACACAGCTCCCTCGCCACGGCTAAGATGGAGGGGGGGGATCCATCACCTTTGCGCCCCCATGACAGGGGCAACACGGGGGGAGAAAAGGGGGATTTGGGGGCGCTGAGTGCCTTCAGAAACAGCGTTCCTGCTCAAAAAAAAGTGCTGGAACGCTGTTCCTGCAGGACTTGATCCATAGGCGTGCCGCGGGGATTAGGGTGTGCCCAGGCACACCCGGCACACCCCGTGCGCACGCCTATGAAGGGCACTCTGACTGGTCTGTGGTGACGCAGTCCCATATGCAGCAAAATTTGAGCTACACTAGCTCTTCTGTGAGATCAGTGCAGACAGGCTATCCTTTGCTCCCAACATGCATCAATAAGCCTTGGGTTCCAATGACCCTTACACAGGTTTACTGGTTGCCCTTCCTTGCACTACTTTTGGTAAGTACTAATCACTGCATACCAGTAACACCCCACAAGTCTTGCCTTTTTGCAGATGCTCTGACCCAGTCATCTAGCCATCACTATTTAGCTCTTGTCAAAGTCACTTAGATCTTTTCGCTCTCAGGGTCTCTTATAAAACCATTGTGAGCTGTCACCTAGAAACACTGTCAGACACACATACAGATCAAAGACATTTCCTGGTGCACATACGTACAAATATGCACTACCAGAAAGAAATACACCGTAGTAGTAGTTATCCGTCATTCGGGAAGTACCACCTCCTGGAGTCCTTCAGCCCTCCCGATCGTTGCGTGCATTCGGACTTTCGGAACGTCCTGAATGCACCGACCAGAAGGCAAGCACAATTCTGCAATATAGAGGGAGGGATGCTGCACACTCGCAGGACCTCTCTATATATAGAAAAATTATGACTAGCAACATTAGTAGTGCCACTGACGTGGACCAATCAGTGTGCACCATAGGTTTTAAATCAAGTTTTAGCTCCGTTTCTCATTGCCCTGTTTTGGTTTTCTTGTGGTTCCTCATATAGTGCCTTATATTGTTCCCTGGTTTCCTTGGTTCTTTGATTTCGGCTTCTTGTACTTTTTTTGTATTCACGAAATTCTGGATCCTGATCTTGGCTTGTTTCATGTTGATGCTTCCTTTCATTTTTACATTAAACATGGCCATTAATAGGTCCAGTAATTCAGCCTTTCTGTGTATTTGTTCCTGACCTATACTTGTAGTTTGGGTAGGGTAGGCATGACATTTATCCACTCAGATAAACTTAGCCACTTACACAGATACTGCTGGACACACTCTCAAACACACACACATACAGATACATAAATTCCCATGCATACAATGCCACACACAAACAGAAATATGTGTATACACATTTTTAAGCACTCTCCTGTTTGTCTTCCTTATGGGTGGGAGGGTACTTCCCTCGGGTCTATAGGATGACAGAGTGGAAGAGGATGAAAGCTCCCTTCTTTACCTACTCAGCATCCAGTGTGTATAGAATGGTAGTGAAAGACATCACACCCTCTCAGCGTTGTAACATGTGAAGCAGCCGTAATGCTATTCCATGCAGCTTGCTAAGAGTTCCAATTCCATCTGTTGCGGTTCTGCAATGCAGACCTGTTGGGGAAGGAATGTTATCTCCCCATTTGGATTGCATATTGTTACAGTGCCCAAAGAGGGTCCCAGAGCCAGTCTATACACCACTACATTATATGTTGTTTTAAAGTGATTTATTAATCTATTTTAGTTTTTGTGTAATGAATTTACATATCCAAATCTGAACAGTTTTGTTTCTAAAAACAAACAAACAAGAAAAAAGCAAGCCAGTAGGGAGTCCTATCAATGTGAAGGGTCAGATGTCTTGAAGCTAATAGACAAACATTCATGCAAGGCCCAAACAAAAACACCAAAAACATACCCAAGTGGCTAATGATAAAAATACATTTCAAAAAAGTAAAAAAAATTTAAGGCTTTTGTTTAATAATAATTGTTGAAGTACGGGCCGAATGTGTGAAACACGACGAGAGAAAGGTGCTGAGCTAACAATACCACCCTGTTATTTTTGAACCTAGATCATAGCTGCCATTCCTCCTTCAGTCGTCTTGGCTGTGAAATGGGGAGTACTTAATTAAAAAGGGGGTGACCAAGAACACTACTCCATGGCTGGTGGGTGAGGGGTTAATAAGGTAAGCGTGAATCAAACAAGCTGCCCTCTGTTCCATCCCCCCACTCTCCCCCCAATTCCCTGGATGTGGGATACGGGAAACCCGATACAGGGTCCCCCACATTCTCTTCACTCATTGTTGGTAAGTGAGAATTTATTGCTAACTAAGGTCAGCAATAAGCAGACAAGCTAATTTTGCTTCCTCTCCTCAATCCACCTCCACCTCACCAATTTGGCATGGCAACATTCAGTGATCTTTCTGCTCCCACCTCCTGCCGGTCACCCAGACTCATTTGCGCCCCTAGAACCGGTGCGCCCTAAGGTGGCCGCTTGTGCCGCCTTATCTTAGCGCTGGCCCTGCCTCATAGAGATTGCTGCTCTGCAACTAATCAAGGCTAGTCTTTAGGTGTTGATCCCTTTCCAACAATAACTGTGCCCACACAAGACAGCCATGGTGGTGGGGGGACACTGTGCAATGGATACACAGAGCAACTGGCAATAGCTCTTATCTAATATGCATATTGGCCCTATCCCACAGCCTGGGTATGAGTGCAGTTGTTTTGCACCTGAAATTAAACTCTTTACTTACCTAATTGGTGAAGGGCATAGGAATATTGCCATATTGCCCCCATTAATCCAGGTACCCCACAGCCCAGGGGATTGTGGGCAGCTTGGTTGCCTCATTCTTTCACTATTAACCCCTCACTCACTGGTATTGGGCGAGGGGCAAAGAGAGACCCTATGCATGGCAAAAAAAATTGGATTGATAAGAAATCTCCCATCCCACAGTACATGGGTTTAAAGGACGAAGCAGTAGCTTCTTCCATTAATAACCTCTCACTTGTTGGCAAGGGGTGATGTGCACTGAGAAAACCCTGTTGTAGCGGAATAGACACTTACTAGCTACGTTTAGTCCCTTATTTGGCTGTCCATATTCCCTCTCCTCCCCCCCATTACAATACTGTGCCTTCTCCCCTGTTATTTTGTTTGGTTTCGTTTTTTCTGTTCGGGAGACTTCATACGAACGGGATCCATTCATTTCTCGAACAAGGACCACCCCTGTGCCCCATTAGAATGTTGACACCAGCCCCTTAAGTGTGAAAACCGCAAGTGAAACAATTAATGCGTGCTTCCCCTGTGTGGCCGCGATTTCGTTTAACTAAACACATGGCAGAGAGAATGGTGGCCATCTTGTCTCCCGAACTAGGGCAGTGGTACATGGTCATCGAGTGCCTGGAACTCTTTTCGGCTAGGTATCACATGAACCCCAGTAAACTTTCTACCGCTGCTGGTTTCTGGTTCCGACCACCTACATGAATGGTGTTCGGGAGATTTGTCTTACGGAACAGGGGGAGCATTCGTATCCAGAAAGCTATAGATTCCCTTCTATGGTTTTCGCACAGGAACCTCACAAACGGAGACCGTCCAGGACACCTATTTCTCTGGAACTATTTTGGGCTAGTGCCTCGTGTCTGGTCGGTCAAAACCATCACAATGGCATTCCCGTTTTGCTGAACCGATCTGAGTGATTCTTGGATATGTTGGTCACTCAGATCAGTGTATGTACTTTTTGTGGGGTTCCTTTTGGGGTATAGAATATTTTGTGGATTTTCTGTGCCTGGTAGATAATTAAATTAGAGGAGTTTATTCAGGAAATTATCTCTCAGGCACAGAGGATCCTGGGATTGAATCCCCTGCATGGGACTGGGCATAAAAGCCGTGTATGTGTCAATAAAATTCAGTTATACCCCCAGAGCTGTGTGTCGTCCAGTTGCTGGGGAGGAGGTCAGAGATTCTTGGATTATTTTACTGTGCCTGACTGCTCCATTGAATGGTTTTACTTGTTCCTGATTGTACTTTGGTGTAACCAGCGGAGTAGAGTCCCTGCTAGGACTAGGGCTTCGCTACAACTGTACTCCAATCTTTAATAAGTATCCCCCACATAACATCTCAGAGTATTGGGGAATGCATTTTAAATGAAAGCTAAACACGCTAATTAGATGGAGGTGCCACGGAGCTCCCTCATTATAATTAACATCACAAAACCAGAAAAACTAATTGTATGAACAAATTTTGCCCATCAAGCAACTAATTTTTTTTTTAATTTCAAGATAAAGTCCATTTGTCCGTTAATGTTTCAGAATAATTAACGGGAAAAAATTACCCAAAATTCAGGTGAATTTGCAGTCATCCAGTACACAAGGGTAGTTCATATTAGTGCTTTGATAGTGGACTGCGTCGGGAGTTTTATTTCCCATGCCCATAACTCCACTAATTGGCATGGTCCCTTTCAGAAAAATAATATGAACACAATATAAATATTTACTACTGAGTATGGTATGGTTTTTGTGAGTTAGAGAATGCAGACATATAAGGGAGGTTATTAAACACCGTACACACTTCTAATTGTGTAATAAAACAGCCCAGCCTTACAGCAACATTCTTTTGAACTGTAATTGTGTGTCCAAATCCCAGCCAAAGAATTCTTCATTATATCAGTATAGCCTTGTTTCCCTGGTGTTGTGAGGGTTTCAAAGGTGTGGTCGAGAGCAGAATGTTTGTATTAAAAATAAAAGGATAACAAAGGCTATTCAAACGTTACATATTCAAAACAAAGCATGTTCCTCACTTTTTGGAAGAAATGGTTTCTTCTTCAAACCAGGACTGTGGACTCTATATCACTTTTATGCTATATACTATTCCTTCGTATCTTATCCGCACTTTATCTTCTTCTCTTCCTCTCCCTCTCCCTCTCCTCTAGCACATTTCCTCTACCCTTCAAACATGCAACCGTAACCTGGATTCTGAAAAAGCCCAACCTTGACCCGAATTCCCTTTCAAACTTTTGTCCTATCTTGCTACTGCCGTTTGTCTCTAAGATCCTTGAAAGAGTTGTGTATGCGAGATTGACAGACTTCCTCGAATCCAACTCTCTGCTTGACCCGCTTCAATCTAGATTCTGCGCCCGTCACTCTGTTGAAACAGCTGTGACCAAAGTATCCAATGATCTTATCACAGCAAAATCCCATGGCCATTACTCTATCCTAATTCTCCTCGACCTTTTTGCTGCTTTTAACACTGTTGAACATCAACAGCTTCTTCTCATCCTCTGTAATTTTCTTCTACGAGATACTGTGATCTCTTGGTGCTCTTCCTACCTCTCCCACTGCTCATTTAGTGTTTCTTTCTCTGGCTCTGCCTCTTCTCCAAAATCCCTCTCTGTTGGTGTTCCCCAAGGGTCTGTCCTTGGTCCCCTATTGTTCTCAATCTGTATCTGTCCTCCACTGATTTCTCACCACCCTTCTTCACTCGTGTCTCTGACTGCCTCTCTGCTATTTCCAACTGGATGGGTGCTCATTTCCTTAAACTGAACCTGTCCAAAACAGAACTTCTGGTCTTTCCTCCCTCAAGTGTTGCTACTCCATTGTCTGTGTCCCTTTAAGTAAATGGCTCTACCATCCGCTCTACCTCTAAGGCTCGCTGCCTAGGTCTCTTTAACTCCAACCTCCTTTACCCCTCATGTGCAATCAATCGCCAAATCCTGCCGCTTCCATCTCAAAAATATTGCGCGCATCCGACCCTTTTTAACGCTTTATATGACAACGGTGCTTATGCACTGCTGGAGGTGGAGTTACACCTTTGGCAGCAGAGGGGTTAAACTCTATTTGTGCAATGTTTCATAGTAAAAAGCTGCAGACTCCATGGACCATGACCACTTCAAATCACTGAAGTGGTCATGGTGCTTTTAGTAACCATTTAGTGAAGGCTCATTAAAAGAAAAAAAGGCACTATAATTGCAATATTACATAAAATTAATAATATAACAAATACACATATGCACAATACCTAAAATATCAGTATTGACAACCATATGGAACATAATAGGTTAATGAGATGCTTGTCCATGTTAGCACCATCGTTGGCTCTTTAGAACCTGCGATGTAATCAGAAGTTGCAAAGTGCCAATTTATGTTATTAAAATTGTGATATCAGCCTGTTGAGTTTGTTGTTAAATCACAAATTAGCTCCAGTTTTTAGTTGATACATTTTTTTTTTACTTCAGCAAATTCTGGAATTTGAATAAAAATAATTAAATATTCCAAAAAACATTATTTCATGGTTACTGGTGATGAATCGCAATAGCCCCCTTCTCCCCCCACATTTTGAATTTTTTTAAATAAATGTAAAATCCTTTAAACTGTTTGTGTCGCGGGAAGCAATGTTTTTTATAAAAAAAAATATTATGATCTTTCCCACTTAATACTACCTGTGTTTTATTTACAGTTTATTTCAAGATTAAACGAATGACATTTAGGAGCTGTTAGTTTACCTGTTCTGTGAGTGTATGAAATAGGTATGCTGAGGACAATGCAGCTAGTGTATATTGTAAGCGGTTACTGAGTGTTAGACATGGGTGAAGAAGAAATGCTAGCCAGCCGTGTTAAAATGTAGGTCATCGTTTCTAAACTGTGCGCTGGGATTACCTTAACATATCAAGTCTAAGTATATCCTTTACTAAGCATAGGTAATATAATCTAAATGACTGAGCCAGCTATTATCCTTGATGTGCTCAGAAGGGAATGTCCTTAAATGGTATCTGTAACATAAAAATGACAAAGTGTATATTAAATGCTGAAAGAGAATCTTCTTGCTGAATTTACAGAAAAAAACCCTGACATTATTAATTTGTGCTCTCTCGTTTTTAATTAGCCACCATACACAAATAATTTTTTTTACATGTTGTATAAGTGATTGCAACTTTGAGGGTGATTTATAAAGTGTTGTGAAAGGTAATGCAAAGGTCTAAAAGTGGAGGAAAAATACCATGAAAACCAATGGAATGTTTCTGTTGATTGCACTTATTGTCGCGGTGATTGCTCCGCTCCAACTGTGGAACCATCATCCATAAGTAGGATCCAGAATTACCAGATCTTTGTCAATTGTTTGTTATAGGTTTACTCCAACACCTGCAAATTAAAAAAAATATTTAAAAGAATAATACTATATTGGGCATTATTCTTCAGGTCCCCCATTCCAAATGCTTTAAAAACAGTTATAAAATAAGTTTTACTTACCTGAAAAACCTGCTTTCCACGCCTCTCCTAATGTCATAGAGAAGCTTTTGACTGGACCATTTAGCTGAGTCGGAGTGCATGCGCGTGATCTGAGCCTGCTAAGGGAAAGGGAGTCTAAAATAAACTGAACGGGTGAGATAGGGAGGTGGGAAGGCCCACGGGACATTTAGGGTTAAGTGAGAGTTCAAATTAGGGTTAGGTAAGTGCTTCTAACCTCTCTCACACTCTATTCTTACCCTAACCCTTGGGGTAAGGGTTAAAATAAAGTGTGAGAAATCACTATTTAGTGATATTCCCCTAATGTGAATTATCACTAAATATGAACAAGTCCCTAATCCTAACCCTAATTTGAACCCTAACATTAACCTTAAATGTCCCATGTCCTAAGCTTAGTGAATGCACGAACTACAATGAAAGTGTAAAACTAGTTTTACTTGCCTTCCAGGACCTTGCTGTGGAGGAGTAACAGGAGTGCTAGCACGCATGTGCAGCACAGGATCCAGCTGATTCCCTTCACCGGATGTGACGGGGGTATAGCAATCTGAAGGGGTATAGCAGAATGATAGAATACCGGCTCTGATTACATATTACGTATATATTGCCAGTGTGCGTTGTCGACAGACTCAAAATACGCAAAGAATTAACATTAGGCAGTCTGGAACATAATTCTGTCTACATCACGTGTGCCAGCCCCCAGCCAGCACAAAAGTGCAAATAATTCTGGTTGAGCAGTGTTTCAAGCTGAAACATTGCAAAGCCAGATTTCTTCCTCCATTACCACTTCAAAAAGTGGTTGGAATAACCCTACAATATATGTCAAGGATGAAGCAAGGTTTTATTTTACTTGGTTAGTAGCAAATTTAGCTTCTTTGCATTGCTTTACAATAAACAGTGTATGTGCTGTGCAGTGCACTGCAGTGGTTATGGTGCTTTAGTGTAAATTTAAAGGCTTCTCCAAACTTTAATTTACCTTAGAAACATTCATTTTGATGCAGCATACTTTGTGTCTGTTTTATTACCCACAAATTCAACATCATTATTAAGTTGTCAGGAACATTATAATGTGACCATTAAAATACTGAGATTTTAAATGTATAGGAGACTATTATAGGAGACACAGTTTTGGCAGGTAGAGATTGTATGAATTGTTCAGTGACATTCACAGAAAATGTTAAAGTGGCAAAGTTGTAGTACGTACAGGCGGCACTCTTAGGTGCCATTTGAGTCCAATGCATGAGGCGTGCATCTTTACTTATGCTAAACATGCACCTAGTACTGTAGCTAACATATTTAAAGGGTTATTCCAAGCGCTTCAGTGATTTTAAGTGGTCATGCTGCCTGGAGTCTTTGAAAACGCAGCACATATGGAGTTTAACCCCTATGCTGCTGGAGGATTAGCTCAGTGGGCAATCTGGGTCTGTGGACAATGGTACCAATGGTCTCGCACGGAGTATTCTTGAAGTGTGATTAGCAGGATTTGGATGGGTAGGAACGACACTTCATTGATTAGGATTTGTTGACCTCCTTATGTGTTGCACTGGGCTGTGAAAAAAGACATAAAATATTTGAGACTCATTATACAAGTAACCGAGTACCACCTTACTGTCGGAGTAGAACTTCACAATCATCGACTACTGTTTCCCGTACCTCTGTGGTAAGGCTCCTGAACAAAGTTCAAACCTTGGTATTGTGATCTCAGGTAAACTTGGGTCTATCGAGTTAGAACCCAACATCGACATTCCCTTCTGTGTCAGTTGTCTTAAGGTAAGCAACGGTGGCAATGGCTGTCATAGAGGCATCACAAAACACGTGTATTTCTTTCCTTTCCATAAGACTCAGACACCAGTGTATGTTTTAGAATCTTTTACATGTTCGAGCTCTGTCATAGTAACTCCACATATTCCTTCCCTTAGTCTTTCATCAGAGAATGGGCGTCCCATTCATAGGCCTCTAAGGTAAGTTCTCTGAGTAAATATCTGCCACAAATTTGAGAGGGCTAACATCTCTTGAACTTTCTTGAGCAGGGTGACAGCCTCTGTCTTTGTGGGAAGGGATATGAAGCCATTGTCCACGTTGATTTTCCTTTCAATGAACTGTCTAGCTTCTGATCCATAATCTTTTTCTCCCTCTAGGGCAACCTCTTAAGACCATAGATGGCTACAGCTGGTGATGGGCTGTTACCAAAAATGCGTACCCTCATTCTGTACTCCATAACATCATCTTCATGGTCATTTTTGCAGTACCAAAAAAAGCGAAGAAAGTTCAGGTGATTCCCTCTGACCAGAAAGCAATGAAACATATGTTGTATGTCAGCTATCACAGCTTTTCTTTCTTAAAGTAATCTTTCTTAAAATAAAGCAACACTCAGTCCTCTGTAGAGGACATTGCTTAATGACATACCTTGAAACTGGGCACTTGAGTCATATACTACTCTTATATGATTTGGTTTTTGAGGATGGTACAGTACCAGCATTCTTTATCTTTTTTGCAAAGGTAGGTCTTGTTCTGCAACCTCATTTTTAATGATCTTTCTCATGAAGTCCACAAAAAGATCCTTCATCTCTGGCTACTTCTGGAGTGTGTGACTGAGTGAAATGTCTGGGGGACTGTTCTCTATTGTTTGTAAAACGCTCACATGGGCAACAGAAGGGAAGTGGAGAGACCAAACTGTTAGAATCATTTTAATGTAATTCCTTCTCCATTTTTTAAAAGGAAAATTACACCCTTCATAGAAGGTGCAACCTTGTCATCGTCCTTATTGTTGTAAAAGGTTGAATTTCATAGTTAATCTTGAGCCTTTGTGAAAATATTCTCTTTTGCGCTGAAGAAATCTTGAACTGACTTTGACAACCATATCTCTCCTTCACGTGAATGTTATTTGAGTGAGGACTCCAGCAGCTAGGGCATCCATTTGTAAAAATATTAGTCCTGAAGGTATTTATAGATGTTTATGTGCACCTATTAGGCAGACATCTCCAATAATGACCCATCCTAGGTCTAGTCTTTGAGAAAATGGAGCAAGAGGAGGACAATTACCCTGTTTGTGCACTTGGATGATGTCTCTGCCTAGAAGTAGGAGGATCTCAGCTTTTTTGTCTACGGTAGGCATCTCTGTAGCAATTGACCTAAGGTCAACATGGTGCTGTGCAACATCCATAGAAATTTCAGTTCTGTTGTCAGGAAGTAGGTTAAACTCAATTAGAGTGGGACGTGGCAAGGTGGTTCTCCCATCTATTGACTCCAAAATAAAGTTGGTAGCTCTCCTACCTAACATTTCTGCCACCCCAGCACAGGTCTAGAGACCTGTTGCTCTGATCATCCAAGATAGCATACGTTTTGATCCTTTATTCGTGATGGCAGCTTGGGTTAATGCATATGAGGCAGATTTTTGAACAAGACTTTCTGCATGTGTTATGTCCACAAACTTCAGTACAAATTGTGGCAATTGGTGAAGAGGCTTGTTTTTATTCCTCCAAGCAAAGCTCTGCAGAGAATTCTTTCTTAGTCCAAGATACTGGTCCGGCATGAAGGGCTGATATATTTGTGACACTGTCACACTCAGAACAATTTATGATGGCTTTACAGTTCTTTGCTTGATGACTGTATGAAGCACGGCATTGGAAGAAAATAGGTTTCCTTTAGGAACATGTTCCTCTCCTCTGATGACTAAAACCTCTAAATGTTTTGAAAGGATGTGGGTTTTTTTTGTGAATAGGACATTGTCAATTTAACTCTTCACCTATATTCTTAATCATCCTCATTGGTATTATAGTCTAATTCTGTCTTGAGCACTGCAACAGAAGGTTTATGAGGTCGGGTAAAGTGCTTCTCTCCTTTTGGTTGAGTATTGTTAGATGTCATGATAAGGAAACTAGGATCATTTCTCAACTTTGCTTAATTTTTTTATGAAACTGCAAAAGAATGAAAAGGATGGGAAGGTTACACTGTACTCTTGCTTGTATTTAATTCTATGTTCGATACGATTTAAGAGGGTTGCCTCCGTTGCCTCAGCAGAGTCATAGCATTCTTCTAGTCTTTTCCAGACCATATTGAGGCCAATTGCAGGGTGATTGATATGAACTGACCTTATTTGTCTCGTATGTTCTGCCAACTCTGGTCCTAGCCACTTGGCTAATAGATCGAGCTCTTCAATTCATTTTTTTTGGTAGTTTGACTGGTTTGAATAGCGGGTTTGTTGGTCCAGTCAGTGGTAGAGCATTCACAGGCTAATAGAGTTTGATGCCAGTTGGACTTTCAACAGGTCTATCTAGAGAACTTGAATTGAATGGCAGATGCGATTCATGTGAAGGTAATGGTTGGGGTTTGGCCTCATATGTTGTGTCTGCCTCAACTAGTGTAAGCCGGTTGCTGCAGTTTTGGGGACCATAGACTTCTAGATATTTCCTTGTCCTTTCTAGTAAGTGCTGGGAAGAGGCATGCATATTGACCCTAGATAATTGTTCTAAATTTTTAAGTCTTCCACTAGAGCGTATTTGCCTCTTTTTTGCTGGACAGCATGTAGCGTAGCTTCTAAGCTGGTATTTCTTCCACTTTGAGCAGAGCTCTTAGTACTCTCACCAGGGGCGTATTAGCCGCGAGGCAAACAAGGCATTTGCCTTGGGCGGCATTTTTCAGGGGGCGGCAAAAAAAGCCGCCCCCAAATGCCCAGGGCAAATGCCTTGTTAGCCTTGCGGCTAATACGCCCCTGGTGAGAGTACTAAGAGCACCCATATGACGTCATCTTCCGGCTCCCAGCCTCACTCTGCGGCGCGCGAGGGAGCTGAGCAGTCAGCTCAGGTGAAGTGCTCCCTCGCCAGCCGCCCAGCCCGACCGGCAGCCACTGGACCACCAAGGAGAGAGAGACCCCGCACCCCCCAGCACTCCCAAAGGTAAGGAGGCTGGGGTAAAAAAAAAGTTAATGTGAGTGATTGTGTGTGTGTCTGACTGTGTGTGTGTGTGTCTGATTGTGTGTGTGTGTTTGTGTCTGACTGTGTGTGTGTGTGTGTTTGTGTGTTTGTTTGTGTCTGTCTGACTGTGTGTGTGTTTGTGTCTGACTGTGTGTGTGTGTGTTTGTGTCTGACTGTGTGTGTGTGTTTGTTTGTGTCTGACTGTGTGTGTTTGTGTCTGACTGTGTGTGTGTGTGTTTGTGTCTGACTGTGTGTGTGTGTGTGTCTGACTGTATGTGTTTGTGTTTGTGACTGAGGTGTGTGTGTGTTTGTGTCTGTGTTTGTGTCTGTGTATGTGTCTGACTGTGTTTGTGTTTGTGTCTGACTGTGTGTGTTTTTGTGTCTGTATGTGTCTGACTGTGTTTGTGTCTGACTGTGTGTGTGTGTTTGTGTCTGACTGTATGTGTCTGACTGTGTGTGTGTGTGTGACTGTGTGTGTGTTTGTGTGTGTGTGTGTGTGTATTTAGAAGGTGGGGCTGGGGGGAAGGGTTGGGTGGGGGTGGCGTGGGGGGAGGGGAGGCGCCTGAGTTTTGTCCTGCCTAGGGCAGCACAAAACCAGGATACACCACTGACTCTCACTTCCATTTTCTTTCTGAACGAATTAAACTCTTGTTAATGCAGCCTCTGCCTTGGGACATGACTCCCATGCAGCCATGCTAATTGATGACTGCTTAGAGTGCCTATATTATCTTGATGATCCTGATTATCGAGAGCACAATGACCTGGTTTTCATACTCTATTTGTCCTCATTTAACATCTTGGGTTGTAAGTACTGAGGGCTTAGGGTAGGATAAATATGATTCCCTTGCAGATTAATGCATTTTTACTATTTTGTTCTCACCCAGTGTTCCCCTAGAGAGCTTTACAGAGCTAAACTCTCCTCACAGACCACTCCGATGAGAAATATGATGTTGATCCTGGGTTTATTTGCACATCACCAACCCACTGCGATACATGAGAAAGAGTAAAAAGACAGTACTATCTAGGAGCAAATACATATGAAGACCGGTAACAGTTCACATCTTCAGTTTTAACAGGATGTGGAACAAAATGGTGTCTGCAAGGGTTTCTTCAGTTGCTATGGAGAATAGAACCATAACAAAGGTGTACAAACTCAGGAAAGCATCACTAGGTGTTTTTAAAAATGGTTTAACTGGAGCCAAAACAATTAACACTGTGTGTGCTTGCAAAGAGGTGAAAAAGGCTCTTGGTCCATGTATAGGTATGAGATATGGATTAATTTGGATCACAGCCCACTTTACAGGATCATACAGGTGTATGAGACTTTGACATTGTGTCAGATATTGACATACAGTCACAACTGCGACACTGATGAACTCACCTGTGCTGGAGCAGGACTATGGACCTGTCAGGGCGTCTTAAACAAAATGTGCATTCTCCATTTAATTGCACATGTCTACAATGCCTTTTGCAAGAGTGAATTATTCACTTTTTTTCAATACATTAAACGTGAACTTACTTGGCCTTTTTCTTTAGCATTCACACAAATAGACATTAATAACATACAATTAAATGCAATCCTTCATGAATTATCTTCCTGGCAAATCATATTTGATTTTAGTAGAATGCCACCCCTTAAAATGATCAAACCCCTTGTACCCTTTATATGCACAATTATTAATAATGAAACTGTACACATTTCATTTCCCGAGCACCCGGTCTGATAGAGCTAAATAAAATAGCATTCCTCCCCCGTCTATCCCAGTCTTGCGTCCCATCTTACATAAAATGCATATACTAACATGTCATGCAGCGGTAAGCCCTGCTGTCATTCTGTACTAACCTCGTCCCCTACGGCATATCCTTCCCACTGAATCCTTCAACTGAAAGTTGTATCCGTCTGCCAAAAACTCACTGACCTACTTCTGGTTTTATTTGCTTCTTTCATCTTGGGATTATCTAACAATTCAATTTTTAATGCTGCTGTGTGATGACCTTCAATAAAAAGAAAGTCTTTCAACATTTCACCCACTCCTTGCTCCCCAGGGCTACTTCATGGAATTCCAACCCAGTTCCTTACTTCTCTCTTCGATCTATGCTGTCTCGGGGGGGGTGACAGGATGTTGTGAGGGATTTCACTGTAAACCTAAGTAATAACACATTTTCTATGGAATACAAACTTAAAGAGATTCTGTAGTGTTATGAATACAAATCTGTATTCCTAACACGATTGTGCAATCTGGTACCCGCCTCACTCGCAGTTCCCCCTCCGGCAGATAGAAGGTTAAAAAAAAACAAAAAATACTTAATTTGCTGTCTTTGAGCCACAATGCTTTCCTATAGGGATTTCACTAACGCTAGATGTCCTCATGCAGAGTGTGAGGACATCCATAGTCATTTAAGGGACCCAGAGTCCGATACCTGGAAGTGCCTCTAGTAACTTAATGGTAGTAACTGTTCCTCAAAAACTGCAATGTTTTACTTTTTACCAATTCAATGAGATGAAGTGATCTGGGTGCCTATAGTGTCCCTTTACATTACATAGCTGAAAAGAAACATGCATCCATCCAATAGACTACGATAAAACCACCTTTTCAGGCAGGGAATTACACATCCTTATTGTTCTTACTGTAAAAAAAAACTTTTATTTTGCCTTAGACTAAATCTCCTTTCTTCCAGTCTAAATGTGTGACCTTGTGTCCTATGCATAGTCCTGTTTATGAATATAAAATGGTTTGTATTGGCCCAAATATATTTGTATAATGTTATCCCATTTGAGGCGCTGTTTTCCCCAAACTAAAGATATTTAAATGTGTTAACCTTTCTACTCAACTAAAATGTTCCATTCCTTTGATCAATTTTGTAGCCTGCCTCTGCACTTTTTTTAGTACCATAACATTCTTCTGTAGAAAATGGTGCCCCAAATTGCACAGCATACTCAAGACATGGTTTTAAAAGGCAAAATAATATTTTCATCCTGAAAATTAATGCCCCTATTTATACATGACAATGTCCTTAGCAACTGTCAATTGACATTGCACATTGTTGTCTAGTTTATTTAGAACAATTACCAAATCCTTCTTGTTCACTACCATTAGGGTGTAAGTTGCTTGTGCATTCTTGACCCTGAAAGTGCATAACTTTGCATTTCTCTACATTAAATTTCATCTGCTATTTGAGTGCCCAGTACCCCAATCTATGTAAATCCCTCTGCAGCAAAGCAATACCCTGCTCACAATGTATTACTTTACAGCATATTGTGTCATCTGCAAACACTAAAACATGGCTTTCAATACCCATTTCAAATTCATTTAGCAGTGGGTGGGGGCCGGAAGTTACAAGGGGGGGCCTATTGTCCTGTTCCCCCTGGCCCGCCCCATGAGAAGTGCGTGAGGGTCCTAAGTTACAATGGGATGGGGGACCTATTGTCTGTCCCCCCTGACACGCACCCATGAGTGGAGAGTGGGGGCCCTAGTGACAAGTGATAGGTAAATCTTGAGCCTTGCAAGTAATCAGGCAAGGCTCAAGAGTTACCTATCAGAGCACTCTTATTGGTTGGCTTAAAGCAACCAATTAGAGGGCTCTGAGTCAAATTGCTGGGCGTGGGAAGGCTTTACAAGCCTTTCCCTGCCCTCGCTGGGTGAAGATGCATTTTTTTCTGCATGTTTTTTTTATTTTATAAATTCGACGGGAATTATGGATTATTATTTGTCTTTTTTGGGGGCTGAAAAAAGGTTAAAAAAAAAAAAAGACATCCAATGGTAAGTATAATTTTTTTTTTTTACAGGTATTTAGGTTTATCAGTTCCCCCTCACTATTTTTATGGCGAGGGGGGTAGGGAGAGCTTTATTTTATTTAAAGAGGGGTGACTAGGGGTTTGGGTGGGTTACTTTTATATTTAGCCGCCACCCATGGGTGGGGAATATAGGCCCCCTCCTATTGTCATTTAGGGCACCCACCGCTGATGAGTCACCCCTGAATGTGAGACTGTGCCCTGTGGCCTTCTGGCACCATAACAACTCTAATTTACATGAAGTTGTGTTGGTGCCTGAAGTGTTCCTTTAAGAAAAGCACAGCGTATTTAGCATTTGAAGATCTATATAGTTCCGACATTGTGAAAAAAAACGCTTCAAGCGCTATAACCACTACAGCCCACTGGTTATGTGGTTATGGTGCTTGGAGTGTTTCTGTAAAACTTCAAACAACAATGATTTATGTGTATCAACTGACAAGTCAGAAATAACTTAATAAATGCAATCACAAGTAAATATTGTAGAAATATTTGGTTTATTATATAAATAAATACAAACTGTTTATGAAAATGTATATATATTTAAATTATCTA